AAAATATAAGAAAAAAATAAAATAAAATAAAATATAAGATTTGACACTTAAAATGTTTTATAGGTATTAATATAACTAGTGAATCTCCAATTGGAAGAAAACTGACCATCCATTCTGAGAAAAGCAATGGTGAGTATGAATATACTCTGAAATGAAGAATGTTCCACATTAAGCTACATTTGATTTTAAATTCAGTTTTTGTGATAACACTTTACTCTGGAGTCGAAATTGTTTAATTATGAATGAGCTATAGGAGAGCTAATTTTTTTTTTTTTTTTAATTTATTTGACAGAGACACAGTGAGAGAGGGAACACAAGCAGGGCGAGTGGGAGGGGGAGAAGCAAGCTTCCCGCAGAGCAGGGAGCACGATGCGGGGCTTGATCCCAGGACCCTGGGATCATGACCTGAGCCGAAGGCAGACGCTTAACGACTGAGCCACCCAGGCGCCCCATGGAGAGCTAATTTTTAAAAACAATTAGAATAGATATGTCCCTCCATGTTTTAGAAATAGCAGTAGTGTGTGTGTGTGTGTGTGTGTGTGTGTGTGTTGTTGTTGTTGTTTGAAGCATATGAGTCAATTTCTGGTTTTGGAAAGCATTTTTCTGAAAATTTGTGAATAATTAGGAAATCTATCCCCAAATAGAGTTGACCCTTGAACAACATGGGGGCTAAGGATACCAGCCCCCTATGCACTCGAAAATCCATATATAACTTTTTACTTCTGCAGAATATAACTGCTAATAACCTACTGTTGACTGGAAGCCTTACTAATAACATAGTCAATTAACGTGTATTTTGTTTGTTACATGTACTATGTAGTGTATTCTTACAGTAAGTTAGAAGAATACGTTAAGAAAATCCTCAGGAAGAGAAACTACATTTATAGTACTGTACCATAGTTATTGAAAAACAGGTCCATGCAGTTTAAATCCATGTTGTTCAGGGGTCGGCTGTAGAGGCGGGCTTCTTTTCTGATTCCAGTGCCAGCAGTACAACCAGAAGTTAACTCTTACCATTAACAGGTTTATATCAGAGCTGGAAGGTGTAGGAAACTGCTTATAGAAGGGTGGCATGCTTTTAATAGAATGCATAAACGAAATAATTCAATTTGGCTGGAACATCATGGGGAGATGGTTGATTGGGAAGCACATGCTAAATTGCATGTAATGTGCTTGCATTGATTTATCCACGTTTGTATTTATTTATCTGCTTGCTTCCAGCTGCTTGTCAGACATTGCTATCTCTTCCTGTGGATTTTAATTTAGAAAATGTATTAGGTAAGTATCGTATTTGTTTAAACCTTTAATAACTTAGATAGAAGGTTTTGTTTTGATGGCTTTTTGTAAATGGAAATAGGTGGCATTGTCTCTTTCTAAAGAAGTGGGAAAACGGTCCTAAAATTTCTTTTTCTATAACTTGGCCTGATGAGCATTTTTGTCATAATGAATTTTGCTTTAGACATAAACTATTCATTGGCACATCTTATTGGTTTTACCTATGCTAATAAGTACTCAAAAAAGAATAATTTCAGATTTCAAACGTCACATATGCAATTAAACTTTGCCCTCTTTTTGAAAAAAATCCTAATATATAGTACATGCTTTTTTTTTTATCATGTAACTGAAGCATAATTGCTCTTCAGAATGACTAGCTTTGCCTTTTATTCTGTTAATATTAAATATAGGTGACTATTTTAGAGCTGATGAATTTTCAGATCAATCTCCTGGAAACCTCAGTTCTTCATCCCTCAGAAGAAAGCTGTTTTTAGATGGCAATGGAAGTATTTCTGACTCCTTACCTCCAGCTTCTCCTAGAAGTCCTCGCAGTGGTGCTCAAGCCTCAGTTGAGGTTTTTTATTCGATAGATTTATCTCCTGTACGGTGTAGGAGCCCTGTGCAGACACCAAGTTCGGTAAGAAGCGTATGAAAAGTGTACTGTAGTTTGCTAGAGATGGATCTCGAGGCTCATTTTGTCCGCAAGGAATGGTTGCTTTGGGGTTTTATATTTCATGAGGGGTTAGACCAGTTCACATTTTGTCATTAGTCAGGAATGTTTTGGTTAGACTCCATTTTTGTATTTAGAGGTATACAGGATGGCCAGATTAATCATGAGTCTCAAGGACTTTCAGCATAAGTTGTTTTCTGAGCTGTGTAAGGTTTTCAGTTTACCACAGCTGGATTGACATTAATGGAGTAATTTAATTTAAAGTTGTTCATAAACAGCTGCATCTGAGATAGATTGGTGTGTTTAAACACTGCATTTATATTTTATTTTGACTAACATACTCTATTTCAAAATTTTTCCAACAGTCTTCTTAATTGTTCTTGTCTTTTGGTGAATGACCAAAGTTTATATGACCTACTTGGTAAACGTGTTTTGAAGATGAAAATAAATAGCATATGGTATAACAAATTGAGAAAGAGAACCGTATAATTTTATTTATTTTTATCACAGGGGCAGTTTTCTTCCAGCCCTATTCAGGGCAGTACAAAAAAATACAGCTTGGGAAGTAGAACCAGCCCTTCACCTCTTTCTTCACCCACTTTCTCACCAATTGCATTTCAGATAGGAAAGACTCCACTCTCGGGTATGTCTCATAAGAAAGTACCTAATTTCAATTCCTATATTTACCAACATTTGTTATTAAAGAGTTTCTTTTTTAGCTTGTTCTAACTGTAGAGCTCTAAATGACCCACTAATCTTCTAAAATTTGAAAACTGGCTTTTTAAAACAAAAGGAACAGTTTACCTTCAAAACCTGGATTCTTGACAAAGTTCTACGCTAGTATTAAACACCGGTCATCTGATTAGCAGTATTTATATCAAGCATTCTTGTAAAGGGAATCAAAGAAAGATGGCGGTTTTAGAGTTAAGTTGGTTTCTGTGTGCCTTCTGACCTGTAGGTTCAGACTTTGTAATCAGATATTCGTATTTTGTAAAGATACGTTTGTTTGAGTAAGACTTTTAAGGTAAATTTAGTGTGTGGAAATTTACATATTTCTCTTTGCAGTATGTTAGTTTCTCTGAAATAAAATTTTAACTCCTTTGAAAAAATTACAATAAAAAGCTATGCATAATAAATAAAATCGGAAACCTGAAAACTACTTTTGTTAGTGTTTATGTATGTATATGTACTTTTGCATAAATATGTATGTACTTTTGTTTGGAGATAGACACACACACACCGTAGTTCTGTGGTCTGCTTTTTTCACAAAGTATTGTATTATGAATATTTTCATTGGTCATTCAAATCATTTATTATTGTATGAAACAATGATTTTGAGATGTATCATTTGTTTTCAACCATTGATGAACATTTAGATAGTTTCTAATTTATTTTATCAAAATAATTATTTTTGTATATAGTACATATTTTAGGTTAAATTCTCAGAAGTGGAATTATTTGGTCAAAGGGGGTGAATGTTTTTAAGGATCTTGATGAATTTTGTCAAATTTTCTTTATAAAAGGTTGTACCAATTGAAATTTTCATCAGTAGTACATAAGAAAGTCAGTTTCTGCCATATAGAAGCACTGGTATTACCATTCTTTGTGGTGTTTCTTAATTTGTTATATTACAAAGATGTCTCTTACTGCTTTAATTTTTGTATCAAAGTTACAAAATGATGGTGTTGAACTCTTTCCGGATATTTATTGGCCCTTTATTTTGGGGGAGGGATTCTTAGTTCGTACTTCACTGTTTTCGTTAAACAAATGCTTTCTTATTGCTTCAACTTCCATATTTTTTATTATTTATGTGGCTGACCACTTCATATGTTTACTTGCCATTGGGAGGATTGTTTATGGGCTCTTGCCCATTTTTTTAAACTTCTGTTTTTTGTTAAGCCAGTGAAGTTATAAAAAGTATTATATTTTAAAGCACCTTTATCATTTTGATTACCATTGTTAAGCTCTTTGTTATTGCAAATATTATTTTACAATTTTTTGCTTGCTTTTTAACATTGCTTATAGTATTTTGCAAGGTTTTTACCTGCTTCATTTACCGGGTATAACTATTAACTTGCAGCTCTCGGCTGATTTGTCCAGTATCTTCTTCATATATGAACACTATTACTATAGGAGCAATATGTTTATGAGGAAATAATTCTCAGGGAGTAAATTATTTTGTTTAATTAAAAGGAAATGCCAGAGGAATTCTTTTTGAAGAGTCTTATGCTGCTTACTGAGACACATTCATTTGTGCTATTGTTTGTAACACCAAAATTTCACTTCAGTAAACAGTACAATGTTCCAGAAATCCAATTTTTCTGGCATTAAAACACTTAGTAATGTCTTTTCCATTTGCATGTTCTTATGATGGAATTTTTCCCTTCCAATCTTTTAGAACAAAGGAAGTTTACTTTTCATTCTCCTGATAATTCGGCTGGAACAACAAATTCTAATGGAATTACTAATCCATGTATCAGAAGTCCTTATATAGATGGCTGCTCACCAATTAAGAATTGGTCTCCTATGAGACTCGAGATGTGTACAAGCGGTACTCAGTATCGGACCTCCCTGATTCGGATACCTTTCGCTCTCGAGGCTCACGGGGAAGATGAAGAAGATCCGGTGAATCTTCCTTCCACAGAATCCTCGTCACCAGCCATGGACACGGGTGGAGTACACCTGCGGCAGGTGACCAGTGACACTTCTGCACGTGGCACACGTTTGGTAGTGACTGCCATGTCTATTACACAGAATCAGTCCAGTACTTCTGAGAAAGAATTAGCACTGTTGCAGGATGTTGAAAGTGAGAAGGAGAACAACACTGTGGATATGGTTGATCCTACAGAAATAGGAGATGAGAACACTTGGATTAAGGAGCCGGTTGATAATGGGAGTTTGCCCATGACTGATTTTGTGAGTGGGATTGCCTTCAGTATTGAAAACTCTCATATATGCATGTCACCTCTTGCAGAAAGCAGTGTCATTCCTTGTGAAAACAGTAACATTCAGGTAAGAAATTTTAATATTCTAGAGTCCTTTACTTTCTCCCTTATTCTGTTTTTCTGAGATTATACTAAGAAAATAGGTTAATTGTGAGGACTGTAGTATTATATAACTTTATATGTGTGTGTGTGTGTGTGTGTATATATATATATATGATATTTTTTAAAAATATCAATCCATGGTTACACTAAGAGGGTTAGTTTCTTTTAATTGGGACTGATGTTGCATATTTAATATTCACATTCACTGGTACTTATTTGGAGTAGGGAAAGATGAGAGCAGAAAAGAAATCAAGCTGCTCTGTTTTTATAGAGTGCTAGGGTCAGGCAACTTCTCAGGATTCATCTCTCTCTCTCATTCATTAATTGTCATAGTCTTTGAGCTGAGAATTTTGAAAGAACTTTAAAATAGTCAGAAAGGCAATTCTTACCTGCCATTTTATAGTAACAACATCTAGCTCTTATGTAGCTCTTACCTTTTTCCAGGCATTATTCTGAGTATTATTCTGAGTAACACTTTACATGTGTTAATTTATTGAATCTTCACAGGGTTATTGTGAAATAGGTGGACTATTATCCCCATTTTACAGATGAGGAAACTGAGGGTCAGAGAGGTTAAGTAAATTACCTCCATTGGTAGCAAGTACTGGTGCCAAGATTTGAATCCTGGCAGTATGGCTTTAGAGTTCACGTTCTTGAATCCGAGTTTGTACTGACTCATGGTAATAGCTAACATGTACACAGGGTTTCAGTGTGTCAGGTGCTTTTTCAACCACTTTATATGTAGTCATTCATTTAATTCTCCCACCACCCTATAATGTTTTAGTGCTGTCAGTTTTGGAATGCTAAAATTTAAAACTCACAGAGGGTTTCTAAATGACCCAAAATTAAATATAATCCTCTGCTCATGTTTTTATGTCTGTATCGTCTCTTCTGACTTCTAGGATCTTTGTTCAGAAAAAATACACTAGAATCACTTTTATATGTGTTAGCTTCTAAATTTGGTTCCTAAGGGAAAAAGCACTTACATCAAACTTAGCCTTCACGGTATTGTTAACTTCTTTTCCTCTCCTTTTTCCTCACTGCCTTTTTTTTTTTTCAGACCATTTATAGAAGAATCAAAATGCTTTCATTGAAATACACTTTAATCATCTAACTCAACTACCCATTGGAAGCCTATTTCACTACTAAATTGTCATCCAATCTATGCTTGAGTGTCTGCAGGGGTATTCTAATCCATTTTCGGGCTTCTCTTATCATTACAAGCCTCTTCCTTATATTGAACTAAAATATGGTTGTCTGTGATATCTACCAGTCAGCTTCAGTTTGACCCTTTGGGCCGTATCATAATAATATTTACCTTTGGCAGAGCATTTAATAGTTTAAAAACTTCAGACATTCTTATTTTCCTACCACAAAGGCAGCTTCTAACCACTTGAAGACAGCCATATTTTCCCAGGGCCTTTTTTATTTTTTTATTTTTTTAAAGATTTTATTTATTTATTTGACAGAGAGAGACACAGCAAGAGAGAGAGCACAAGCAGGGGGAGTAGGAGAGGGAGAAGCAGGCTTCCCGCAGAGAAGGGAGCCCGATGCGGGGCTCAATCCCAGGACCCTGGGATCATGACCTGAGCCGAAGGCAGACGCTTAACGACTGAGCCACCCAGGCGCCCCCCTTAGGGCCTTTTGACTTGCTTTATTGTGGACTGGTTGGCTTCCATGTGTGGTACAAGCTGTCATCCCAGAATATCCCTTCAGATTGGGAATTCCCTTCACCTCTCCTATGTTCTGTTTCCTGTTTTCTGCATTCCATTCTTGTCTTTCCTGGTTTACCTCTCACTTTACTGGAACACATTTTCTGGTAGCTTTGTGAGGAGGAGTACATTTTTAGATACTGCATGTCTTATCATGTATTCTTCATTCTCTCACATGAGAGTTTGGAAATAATTGTTCTTCAGACTTTGAAGGCATTGTTTCATTGATTCTACTTCATTATTGCTGGTGAGAGATCCGAAACCATTTTAATACTTAATCTTTTGTATATGATCTTTTTCTACCCACCCCTGGACATGTATAGGATCTTCTCTTCGTCTACAGTGTTCAGCAATTTCAGTGATTCTTTGGCGTGGGTATCTTTTTGTCCATAGTACCGGGCACTCAGGAGAGCCTTATGATCTGTAAACTCATGCCCTTCCCTTCTTGGATCTTTTTTTGAATAATATCTTGGATTTCTCCTCTCTCCCTTTCATTTTTCTTTCTGGAATTTCCTTTTAATTCTCCAATTTTTAAAAATCTTTCCACTATATTTTTTATTTCATTTTTGTTTGCGTATCATTAACTTCTAAGGTGTTTTGGGGGTGGAGGGGCTTTGTTTTTACTTTTGGTATTAATTTAAAAATCTGTAGCATGGCTGGCAAGGCATCCAATGGTCTGACCTTTGCCTTACTCATCAGCTTCATTTTGTTTCCCTTCATTCTCTTTGTTTCGGTCACATTAGCTTTCCAGAGTTTTAAATAACCATCTTCCTTCTTGTTAAAAAGAGCCTTTCCACACTCTGCTTAGAATTCCTCTCTCTCCTACTTGACCTGTTTAACTCCTATTTGTTTTTTAGTTCACAACTTAATGATCACATCCTCAAAGGAGCCCTCCCTGATCACACTAGCCAAGCCAGATCTTGTCATATGGTTTCATAATTCCATGTACACTTTGCATTATTTCCATTCAGACCATTTATCGAGTAGTCTTGGGTATTTTTGTTTATCCCAGAGCTTATGTGTAATAGCTGCTTGTTAAATATTTGTGGAATGAAAACAATGAATGTATAGGTAAGTTCAACCAGAGGGACTGTATGAAGTGAGAACAGTGAGCCAATCAGTGTTTGGAACCCTGAGGAAAAGTCAAGGGTTTGCTAAAGAAAGGCGATCCCCCAAAGGAAACTGAGAAGGACCAGCCAGAGGGGAGAGAGAGGGACATGAGGAAAGCATAGTGTCATGGAACATCTTAAGGAAAGAGTGGTTAGTGCTGTTAAAGTAAAAGCAAGGAATATAGGGCTTGAAAAGTGGCTGTTGAATTAATAACGGAAGTAATTTGGTGAGTGAACAGCCTCAAGGTGGGGTGGTGAAAAGTGAATGGAAGGAGGGTAAAGAAGGTGAAGTCATGAAAAATTATGTGTAGATAACTCTTTGAAGAACCTTTGTTGTGAAGGGGAGGGTTATCATAGCTAGAGAAGAACATTAAAGTCCAAAATCTTTTTGTAGTTTCTTTTTTAACTTTGTTTTTACTTTAGATGGGAGAAACTAGCATATTTTAAGTTGAGAGGGAGAAGAGTAAAAAGAACAAAGAAAATTAGAAATTGAGCAGGATAATTATTAATAATAGGTATCAATTATGTATCCTTTTCACATACCAGAGACCAGGGCAAGTATTTCACAGTTAGAATCTAATCTCCATGATGCTTTACAGCAGATGCAATAAATCTAATCTGTAAAATCGTGATGCATTTTATACATGAAGGAACTGAGGTGTGTGAGATGGGATAGATCTAGAGCTCTGGGAGGAGGATTAGCACAAGTAACCCTTCCACTTTCATGGGGGACAAGGGTGGGGGGCTGGGATGGACGTGGGTACATGTATTTGTAGCTGGGAGCTAACATGGCTTTAAGGAGCTTGGGCTTGGGAAAGCAAAGTGGCAGATTTCAGTTTATTTCCTAGCTCAGTTAGTTTTATCAGTTTCAGGAAGTGAGAGCTTCTTTGAGTTTGTTCCCTCTTATTTAAAATGGGGATAATAAGAGGACTGTAGGATAATAGTTTGATCATTGTGAGTTGAGTTCATGTGAGTATACTTACAATGCCTAAATACTCCCTTAGGAATGGGCGACAAAGACTTCTGTGACAGGTAGCAAGCAAGAGGCAGAGAGGACAAGGAAGATGAGGGTGGTGAGCGAAGGGCGAAAGTGCTGAGGCCTGATTGCAGGGAATGCATTAGAAGCCACAGTGCTTGCCAGTCGAGAACCTGAACCTGGAATGTTTTTGAAAGATCACATCTGATTTATGTGGGAGAAAAATACAGTAACAGTGTGTAGGATGATTGGCAATAAAAACACCATTTATAGGTAGCATAGTCCAACTAGAAGAAGATCTACATTGCATTCAGAACTAAACTTGAATTAGAGTTCTGTCATTTACAGGCTGTGGATCTTAAGGCAAGGTCCACTTCACAGCGAGCCAAGCATGACTTTTTAATCTTTTATAGCCCTCTTCCTTCTCAGCTCTAAAATGTTGCTGATGCCAATTTCGATGCCTGTGGGGAATTACGAGATGATCTATATTGTCTGGTTGGTTCATGGTAGGCACCCCCATTAGTAGTGGTCTACATGAGGGCCAGTGCGGTCAGCCGCCATCTTATGGGGCCGCCCATTGATTCTTCTCTTCCTAAGGAGAAGAATCTTCTCTTCCTGTGTCTTACTCCCTAACGTATTAACTTTTCCCTTGATATATTCAGTTATGCATTACTATTGAGTTGTATAAACCAGTTGTTTGGCACTGGTGATAAAAGGAAAAGTAATTGTCAGATTCTCTGGGAGCAAACTGATAATTCGCTTTTGATCAAATAGCTGTGGAATGGTAACAGAGCCAGGTGTTTCCCCCTGGAACATAATGGAAGATTCTTCTTTTACGTGTCACAAGGGTTTTGTTCAAATAGAACATGACTCCAGTAGTGAACACATACTCATTCTTCCCTGAAAACTGGAAACATTTTTCTGAAGATTATGGTAGAATGCACTTTCTAGGCTATTCTAATGTTTGTGATGGAGACAAAAAGTACAGCCTTTTCCTTCCTCTGACCCTAATTTGCAGGAAAGAATTTAAGTGCAGGGTGAGTCCCTCATGGGGTTTGGTGTTATTTGGTGCTCAGCACTGTGCAGGTAGATGTAGTGTGTTGTGGACAGGGGCGAGGGAGCCTCAGCTCTTCATCACCTCATTCTGTCCAACCCTGTGAAAGGCCACCTTTCTGAACCTCTGCTTCCTCAGCTGTGAAGTCTATAGGATTGCTGTAAGGACAAAGTAAGGATGGTAAGATGGAGAGTGCCAGACAGGCCCGGGCACTTTTTTAGGACCTCAATAAGTATTTATCCTCTATGTACCAAAACTGAAGTTTGCCAGAATCCCTTTTTTCACTTGGGGCTTGCAACAGTACGTCCTAGAGAATGCTACAATTAATTAAAATGAAAAGTTGAACTAACATCTAGAGCCATTATATATGTGGTATTATTATGAAAATTTGTATTTCAACAATGGGTGTGAGTATAATGTAACTGACCTTTTAAAAAATGTGAATTATCTTGAATACTCTTAAAGATAGCATGCCTTTTAGGTAAATCCTACTTAGAGATAAAACCAAGCTATTCAGAGACAAGCTTGGTAAAGCTTGAATTGAAGAAGTTGACTATATAATCCTCACTTTTATCTGCTGGGTGTGATCACACAGTAACAGGAAAGCAGGTTCATAGTGCCTTGTTCAGATTCTAAAGGAAACTACAAGATGTATTTTATCAAAAGGAATGGTGTAATACAGTGACTACTTTGAAGAACAATCAGTTCTATATAGAACTACCTCTTATATTTCTGTATTTTAAATTTAATTCAGTATGATCAATATTAAATAATACATTGTATTGTTCACTTGTGAACCGTAGTATATAGGAGTGCCTGGGTGGCTTAGTCGTTAAGCGTCTGCCTTCGGCTCAGGTTATGGTCCCAGGGTCCTGGGATCGAGCCCCGCATCGGGCTCCCTGCTCAGCGGGAAGCCTGCTTCTCCCTCTCCCACTCCCCCGCCTTGTGTTCCCGCTCTCACTGTGTCTCTGTCAAGTAAGTAAATAAAATCTTTAAAAAAAAAAATAGTAGTATATAGTGACTCACTTACTTTATATTTATATATAAGTTGTATATTTTATAGGAATATATAATTTCAGAAATATTTTATATAAATATTTTTAATTTTACTTAAACATCAAAGTTCCTCAAATTTTGTGGATAAGTGAATCCATTTGCAATGTTATCCTTGGTGTTTTTTTTTCATCCTTCCTGTCAGATGGATAGTGGCTATAACACACAGAATTGTGGAAGCAATATTATGGATACTGTTGGAGCAGATAGTGATGCACAAACCTTGGAACTTGAGAATAAATCTCAAGTTTTTAATACAAAGGTATGGAAAAAACAGAGAAAGCTTGATATGGTTGTCTAAGTATTTATTTAATATGACTTTTTTCAGGGGCACCTGGATGGCTCAGTTGGTAGAGCATGTGACTTGATCTCAGGGTTGTGCGTTCGAGCCCCACCTTGGGTGTAAAGATTACTTAAGATCTTTAAAAATTTTTTTTTCCAGTATTTTTTCCACCCATTTTGCTTAAAATTTTGTTAATTATGTTTATGCCTCATCCTGTTTTCAGTTCATTTAACAGCAGATGGTGGTTTTTAAATCAAAACACTTCATTTTCCTAAATAACTCTTTGGCTATGGGACAGGTTAAGAGGCTGGAGAGGGAGAGCTAGTCCTACTTTGGAATAGGCACCTGAACTCCTTTCCTTACAACTAAAGGGGAATAGGAATAGGGGTGCCACGACCGTTTTTTTGCCTCTAACATTGTTTCAAAATTGAAGTTAAAGAATTTTAATTATTAGGAAAATGATATAACTGAGAGACCACACATCAAAGTAAGAACTCTCAAAGGTAAGGGCTCTTTTCTTAAAATCCAAAAGCCTTTCAAGACTATGAATAACATACCTTACCTACTAAGTATTTGTAGAGGTATACTTTTGACTAGGACATTTACTGTACCTTCTAGGTAGGATGGTTATAACTATATGCATATTTGAGGAAAACCGGTCATAATTTTAGGCAGTAATCAGGAGAATCTTTGATTTTTATATGCCAATTTGTTCATAAACACAGCAGCAAGTGTACAACTGAACAGAACTCTTTCCAGGTGAATATTAAGATATAATATGGAGGCCACCTTAATTTCCCTTTCCTCCATTTTGTTGAGGTGGGATTATAGTTGTTCATTTAAAAGTAAACAAGCATTACGGTATAGGAAAAGGACTTTTTGATGCAGAATATTGATTTATAGAAAACCCTATCTTCACTGTCCCTTTAGAATTCATAAGGAAATCTGCATTCAGGTTTTAAAACATGGTAGCTACACCCTTGAATAGTCCTATTCAAGCAGCAAATAAGGTATTTTCTTTTTTTTTTACCCCACAGGAAGACCGAGTAACACAGAGGTGTTGAATGAAAACAGCAACTCTTCCTCAAGGCAGCAGTCCATAGAATACCTCTCAGAACCAAAGACCAGTGGCTCCTCACATAATTTTTTATGCACAGGATCAATAATGTGATCGTGATTGGGAAAAAGTTGCTTCAACTAACATGCTTAGCTTTTTTTCTTTCCTCCCTTAATGTGAAAAATCAAGGGCTTAATTTAGTGACATGGCAACAACAGAAAAGCTCCTAGAACTTTCAACTCATCGAAGTACAACTGTATTTTTTATTAATAAATATTTTTGTACTTACGTGGATTGATGTGTTTAACAATAACAGGTTTGAGAACAAGGACTTTGCTCTGTCCCACAGGGTCAGTGAACTGTTAGTAAACCTTATCAACAGCACTGAATTTAGCAGTAGTTTTAAGAATATGTGGAATTGTGAGGGTACTATTTTATTTTACATAAAAACGTGACTATACAGATGAATTTACATTTATAACCTTTGTGAAAGAAATCTTAGATATAAAACATTAAAGAGGTAGGAAGGAGATTAAGCAGGTTTCCAGAATTTTTCATTGATTCGTTCATTTCTGTGTACAAATTCTTAGTTCCGATGGTAACTGTTCTAATTACTACTTTAAAAAATGTAAATACTAGAAAAGTAGTACTAACAGCATCTTAATATCACATATTATTAGTGGGGTAAGTATGGGATGCCCAGGATATATCTCCACCCCTAGGGTAGGGACACCCTTTTCCAGCTCAAATTTGGCTGGGGAGAGGAATAAGAACCTGGGAGAACTAAGAAAAACAGTGGGGGCCAGGCGACGGAGTGTCTGTAGGGCTAAATTTAGGCCTTTTATGAAGTTATGGTTGGGCAGACACAAAACTAGTTTTTTAAAATGTTTATGTTCATGTTGGGAGTAGAAGTGATACATACATTTTTTAGAAATATTCTTTACCTCTGGAGAATACATATTCATATTTACAAACCACCTTTTAAAAATCTCCTTCAAAAGGGAGGAATAATTCATATGCAGCCCTAGGAAATAATAATGTACTATCATTGTGTCATTTTCTTCCTTTTTTGCACCTTATAACTTTACTGCTAGTCTGTAAAGACCTTTTCTTCCTGTGTACCTGACTCATCGTCTCCCCCAGCACACTAACCATTAAAGCTGTTAGTCACTAGGTCCACTGCTAAAGACACTCCATTACGAAGTTGAGTCCCTAATCACACAGGCTTTAGGATCAATATAAACTTAAGTAACTGCTATGCTATAAGAGGAATTCTAGTTCCTAAAGGTAGGAGCTTCCCTGGCTATGTCTTTTTGATAGCACAAGTCAAGAAACAAGAAAGTAGTGATTATAGTTTGGATTCAAATCCATCCTGTCACTTACTACTTGATCTGGGCCATAAAACCTTAATCTTCTCATCTAGTAAATGGGTGGGGGTGGAGAGAGTCTTACCCAACAGGGTTTTTTGAGTGTAATATTCCATGTACGCTGCTTAGCATAAAAACTGGCTTTAGAAGCATTTTAGATTACTGAGGACTGAGGCTTTGGGTAAAAATAAGGATTCTGGTCATCTTGACCTACCCAATAAGGACTAATGCCTGAATTAGACCTTCCTCATAAATGAGACCCAAGAAAACAAACATGGAAAGATAGAAGGTTAGCCACTGCCTTGTTTAACCAAGAAACCTCCCTTTCCTTCCGTTGAAGTAAACTCTGGGCTGTCAGCAAAGGATTTTTAAATGGTGGGGAGGTGGAAATCAAACGGGTTTTGTGACACATCAAAGTTCTCAAATTTGAATTTTCATTGGAATGGAGCCATGCTTGCTTCCATCCTGTCTGTGGCTGCTTTCACGCTGTACAAGGAGAGTTGAGTACTACGGTTGTAACCGAGACTGCTGAGTCTAACACGGCTGGTCCTTCACAGAATAGGCTTGCTGACGCTTGCTCTGGGGCGTGGTAGGCTGTTACTTGGTCCCAAGATCACTCAAAGTTATCTTCGTTCAACTGAAACAAGTTCTGCCTCAAGATATGGATGTTTTCCTCAGTAGTAGGAGACTGGAACAATCACTTAACCTCTGAGGGCCTAAATGACTGGACACATGACCTGTTGATTTATTTGCTGGTCCTTTCTCACTGGATTGCAAGCTCCTTCAAGGCAGAGATAGTTTACTTGACTCCGTGATAAGCCTGGTATATTGCAAGTACTTTAGAAAATGAATAAGCAAAGTAAAATGTTGTAAGGTAACTATCTCAAAATATTCTTAAAAAACACATTAATAATTACTAATCTTTGTGATGAACAAGGCATACCAAATCATATTTACTTCAATCTGTTCCCCTTAATATGTCCTTACACAATCCCCCCTTTCCTACAAAACCTGATAGATACACAGTTTAAAAGCTGTTCATGACCTACTTTTTATAAATAACATAATGCAGATGTTTAAAAAAGTGCCATCTCTATTTGCTCTTTGAGCCCTAATGCCTTATTTTGGAGGAGATGTGAGCTTAAAGGTCAAGGATGATGATAATCATACTTATTATCTGGTATCATAAACAACTTATTCTAGTCAGCTCAAATATCCTTCTTCTTGCCTTCCTACAACATTCAATTCCCGAACACAGCTGTTCAAGGACCACTAATAAAAAATGCAGGAAGCTTTTAACAGTTAGGGAACACTTCATACAAATTAGGTAAATTAAAGATGGCAAAGGACTGAATATTCCTTGACAAATTTGATGTCATTGTCTTGAAATCTAAAAACTACCATATCAAACATGGACAGCTTTCAAGTTAGGAAGAACACATTGTTCCTGACTTCTAAAAATGTTCTATTTTCCTCCACAGGAAAATGATAGTTTTTTTCTATCAATATTAAATAATCAAATTACTTAAATTAATCTGTTCTTTAGTGAGCAGATGAATGCTCCACTTAAACGGTCTTTACAGATCCCTGAGGTTGCTATCTTGTCACCATTTAAGTGATGGATACTCAATTGAATTTTTATGCATAATTAGTTCAGTTCAATCTAGAAATGAAGTACCATGATGGGACAGACACAGTCAACAAACAGTTCAATAAAAATGCAAATTTTTAAAACCATTACAATGTATTTAAAAGTAACAAACTGTATCACACACGTCCTAGGTTTAAAAGTATTCTCTCAAGGTTTTTTGTTTTGGGTTGTTTGTTTTTTTTTTTTTTGGTTTTGTTTTTTTTAAGGAAACCAGTCTTCCAAGTTTCTTTGTTGACTGTAGCTATTTCTCACACTTCTTCTTCTTTCTCTCTGGTTCATCAATGTCCATGTTTGGAGTATCAGCCGAAATGCTTATTCCTCGTATCTAAAGTAATGCAAACGGAAAGATAAGGTGAGTAAAAGCATAAAATAAAGAATAAATCTCAGGGCGCCTGGGTGGCTCAGTTGGTTAAGCGACTGCCTTCAGCTCAGGTCATGATCCTGGAGTCCCTGGATCGAGTCCCGCATCGGGCTCCCTGCTCGGCAGGGGGTCTGCTTCTCCCTCTGCCCTCTTCCCTCTCGTGCTCTCTGTCTCTCATTCTCTCTCTCTCAAATAAATAAATAAAATCTTTAAAAAAAAAAAAAAAGAAGAAATCTCATTCTCATCTTCTCTGTCCCCACTGACACTTTCAAGTTTAAAAAGATGTCAAGGGAGAGAAGGGGAAAGGAGGTTAGTAAAGGTCTTCCACACAAAGTATACATATTTCACACATAAGGAGTGGTTCAAAAATGTAAAAGACATAGTCTCGATGGGTGGGAAGCATGTCATTTGGAAAGTGTGGTTTAACCAGAACACGTCCAGTTTAACCCAGCAGAGCCACTGTGACAGTCAGCATCAGGGGCCTCGGTGTGTTGGGGCAGAAGGTTAAGAACTAGTATCTTAGGGTGAAACATACTTAATCTTTAAAAGTGCAGATTTCAAAACTGATAAAAGTGAGAAGGGACCAGGGAGGAGATCTCAGATAGCTCTCTGCCTGTACTGAGGACGTTTTCCAAAAAATCCCAAATGTCTGGGATCCCACAGCCTAGGGAAATTGGTGAGAAAACAATTTGCTATGCAAATATCTGGCTCCCACACTACATACGAGATTTCTCCATTCTTGAACAGAAATAACTTATATCCTTCTCTTTCACACAATATATACTTTTTTATACCATTACAACATGGACAGTGAAGTTTGGTCTTACCTGTGGTTCTACCAGGGACATTCGGATTTTCTGATGCTGAAGATTAGATGAGTCTAGCATGATTTTCACTTTAACTTTATCAAATATATGAAACACTGTATCCTCTATTTTAAGGGAAGGTATCTAAACAAAACACATTTTACAATTTTAAATTGCTGTCTTATCTTGAGGTTTCACATTAATTTAAAAGTAAGTTTAAAAGATTATTTCCAGGGCGCCTGGGTGGCTCAGTTGGTTGGGCGACTGCCTTCGGCTCAGGTCATGATCCTGGAGTCCCTGGATCGAGTCCTGCATCGGGCTCCCTGCTCGGCGGGGAGCCTGCTTCTCCCTCTGACCCTCCCCCCTCTCATGTGCTCTCTCTCTCTCATTCTGTCTCAAATAAATAAAAATAAAATCTTTAAAAAAAAAATTATTTCCATATTTAATAAGCATCTAGGTGTGCAATATTACAAAAACCATTTACCTAGTAACTTCACTAATACATGACCTATTTATGTGTATACTTCCCCCTTTCAGTAAGATGGTCCCAATATATATGTTCATTAATCTCAAGATTCTCACCCCATTAATTAGCAAATTGTTGGTCTACCAGAGGAAAAGGTACTGTGGGCAAAGTATGCTGTTTTGTAGTTCTATTAAAGTTAGGGAAGTAGAGATTGTGTTAGACAAGAAACATTGGAAACAGGCTTAAAAAATTCCTCTGTCTGAGCTCTAAGCAGCCATTTATTCCTTTACTTTCATGCATCTGTCCAATTGTGCAAAGCATAATTCAAGTTTTTCTTAGAGGAGGAAACTACATGGTGTAAAACAAATCAAGGACAACATCTGTATGTGGGATGATACACTGAAGTGAGAAATTATGAACAGAATAAGCTTACTAGTCTGCGCAATTAAGTTCTGTAGGATACAAAAAATAATTTTATCCTTTCTAGGTACCCTCAAAGAAAAAGTACCCACTCCAAAAAAAACCCCAAATAAAACCATTAAAAATACTGTACCTCATCATCATAAATAAGCGTTGGCTTTGGTTTGTCCTTTTCTTCAAAAAAGACGGTACCTTCTAAACCATACTTTGGAATTAA